CCTGGGGACCCCCTGGGGACCCCCGGGGCCCCCCCTGAGCTGTGCCCTGTCCCCCCAGCTCATGCCAGCCCCCACGGCCGTGCCCGAGGCCAAGAAGCTGCTGGTGGCGGCCGCCGTGGCCGTGGTGGCCGTGGCCGACCCCGCGCCCGCCCTGCGGCTGCTGCTGCGGCCCGAGGCCACCTCGGGGGACACCTGAGCCCCCCGGAGTGTCCCCTGTGTCCCCCCCATGTCCCCTCTGTGCGTCCCCCTCCGTGTCACCCCCACCCTTAACTTAATGTACAGAATAAACTCGGACGGAGCCGCCGCGGCCACGAGACGTGTCCTGGGCAGGGGGTGGCCCCAGGGGCTGTATTGGGGTGTCCTGGGCAGGGGGTGTCCCCAAGTGTCCCCCATGTGTCCCCAAGTGTCCCAGGGGGTCAGCCCAGCTCCTCCCGGCACTTCCCGGCTTTCTTGGGCATCTTGCGGGCGCTGCCGTCCTCCAGCTCCTTGGCCTGGTAGTAGTGAGGGGCCACCTCCAGCAGCCAGGAGGGGTCGATCTCGATCACCTGGGGACAGCAGGGGACAGAGGGGACACGGGCTCAGCGGGGGGGGCACTGACAGGGGGGCACTGACGGGGTTGTGGGCGTGAGTTGGGGGCTGTGGGGTCACTGCTGTGTCACCGTGGGGGCTGTGGGGACACGGCCAGTGGGTCCCTGTCACTGTGGTCCCTATGGGGACACGGCCATGAGGTCCCTGCCATCTCCCCCCCGTGTCCCCCGATGTTCCCAGGCTGTCCCTGTGTCCCCACCTGTGTCACAACCTCCTTGGAGGTGCAGACCAGCTCCTGGCACAACACCCACCGTGTCCCTCCTGTCCCTGCCCTGTCCCTGCCCTGTGCCCCCGTGCCCCCAGACCGTCCCCCCCGTGTCCCCCGATGTCCCCAGGCTGTCCCCGTGCCCCCACCTGTCTCATGAACTCCTTGGAGGTGCAGACCAGCTCGTGGTAGAGCACCCAGCGGGGCTGGAGGGCGAACAGGGCGCTGTTGGGGTGGATGAACACGGGCTGCTGGTGCTTCACCGTGCGGTACCCGCCCCGGGCCAGCCGGGCAGTGTGGTAGAAGAACCCGGCTGTGACGGCCTGGGGGGCACAGAACAGGGGGGTCAGGCACTGGGAGGGCACTGGGAGGGACTGGGAGGGGGGATCAGGGTTGGGGAGGGCACTGGG